TGCAGTGCTATCAAGCCGACAAAAAGTTTACTTGGGACGGCCTGTCGCCAAACCGGCTCTGCAATCAGTACCCCGCCATCGTGGCGCGACAGTTCATGCACCAGCTGACCCAGCTGATGCATTGGCTTTCTGGCGGGCAAGGCGCAGCCAGCCGCATGGAGGATGAGGCAGACGCTCAGGATCAGCCAGAAGACACGCTCGAGGAGGACTTCATCCAGGCGCCAGCTGCCGATTCTGCAGGCCAACATCGCGGGGTCCGCAAGGAAGACCCGCCGTTCCGAGTCGTGGACTACCTCATCCGCATCGAATGGCAGAAGAGGGGTTACCCACACGCGCACATCCTTCTCTGGGTTGTCGAGTGGGAGAACAAGAAGAACCCCGACCACAAGACGAAGCCGGCTCACGAAGACAAGGAGGCAGAAGCAGAGGCGCAAGTCCCAGATTGGTCGGATGACGAAGCGATGAAGCATTTTACTCCGACCTGCGCAGAAGACTGGAGCGACAAGTACATCACCACGAAGGGTCCGCTCAGCTGGCGCCAATCCACGAAAGTCTCGGCTCGCGACAAGGAGCTCAACGCACAGCTGGCCGAATTACTGGTGCACAAGCACACCGAATATTGCGGCATCAAGACGCACGGAGCTTGCCGCTTTGGCTTTCCCCACCGTCCGGAACCGCGCACCCGGCGCCGCAGCTCCCAAGAAAAGTATGCCAACAGCCGTTGGAAGAGCAGCCTCGCCACGAGGCGAGCAGAGTGTGACAAAGGCATGGGCCAGTACAACATCAAGATCCTACGACGGTGGCGGGCGAGCATGGACCTGCAGGTGATCTGCGAGCTTACCAGTGCCAGCCGCTACATTCTAGGCTATGCGTTGAAGTCGGAGCAGGACCAGGAGGCGCAGCGGCGCGTGGAAAGCATCGTTGCCAGCCTCACCTCCAGCAGCGCGGCGGACGCGAGCCTCAGCAACCAGCAGATCTACAAGGCGGCGCACGCGGCGTTGCAAGGTAGAACCACTTCCACCTTTGAGGCGTGCCACCTGTTACTGGGCTTCCCCGTCGTCCAGTTTTCCCGAGACAACGAGTGGATCCAGGTGGGACCTCCCGAGACATGGACCCTGTCGGTGCCAAAATACGAGGAGAGCGCTGCCCTGCAACGGCCCGACAGCTACCGTCGCAGCAAGGTAGATCGCGATGGATACATGCCAGTGGCGCAGCGCTGGTATCGGGAGATGCAGAAGGCGTTCAGCGAGCAAGAAGTGAACATTCCCGTGGAGGGCGGCAAGCTTACCACCTGTCGATTTCGAGACCTGAACTTCCTGGATTTCTGTGCGGCCTTCAAATTCATTGGGGTAGATTTTCCGCAGTCACGGAAGCGTCCGGCCATCGTCGCCTACCGCAACTTCAGCCCCGACGAGGAGCCGGAAGCTTTTTACTACTCAAGGCTGATGCTGTACACCGTTTGGAAAGATCCGGGAGATTGGCTACGAGAAGAAGACGGCGGGAGCCACGCCGTAGCCTTTCGGCGGCTCGCCAAGGACGTGGACGGCAACCCTGGCTTCCTCCGATCGAGATGCTTCCCTCAGATGGACGGGACTGTGAACGCTGCTCGGAAGCTGCAGGC